GGGCCACTCTGGTAGCCTAGAGAATAATTTAAAAATAAAAAATAATAAAATAAAATAAAATTAATTTGAATTTTATTTTTTATTTTAAATTTGGTGAAGCATTTCGATGTGACCCTGAGGTAAAAGTTGTTCAGTTTATTTTTCTACATAACATAGGTTTAATTCAGAATTTTTGGATTTTTTTTTGTTTTTTTTTTTTTGCTGGGACCTTATCTAATCCTTGCACGGGCCGGCCACCCAGGACCCGGGCGGCCCGGCTGGTAGCCTAGGCTTTAAATTGTAAAATTATAAAGGATAAAAGCAAGACATATAGATATAGTATGGTTAGTTGACAAATATGGACAATACAGGTTAGACAGATTAACGTCCCTTTCGGAAGTAGAATCCTCGTTGTTTTTTCAGTTATTCCTTCTATTGCGTAGGAGCTGTGGTCGGGGATGGGTTTGGCCGAAAGTGCCTTGTCCAGCCCCAATTGGCCGTGGCATATATAAAGGATACTGGTCCCGTTCCCCAACTTATGCTGAACACATTCTTATTTTTAAATGCAAAAAATAATAAAAAATAAAAAGAACAATACGTAAAATTAATAATACAAAGAATGAAATAGGAACAATAATGGGTGTTACCAAATGCAAATAAAAACCTATAACAAACCTGCTAGCAACCAGAATTTGGTCTTTTAAACTAGGCTACCAGAGTGGCCCGGGGTCACTTGCCCGGCCGGGCCACAAAGAATAAAAATAATAAATTGTTTTTAACTTTTATGTTGTATTTTAAATTTGGTAAGGAATTGCGATGTGACCCTGAGGCAAAAGTTGTTCAGTTTCTTTTTCTCAATAACATAGTTGTTTTTCGGATTTTTTCAATTTTTTTTTTTTTTTTTGCTGGGACCTTCCCTTGTCCTTGTAGGGGCTGGTCAGCCGGCACCCGGGCGGCCCAGTTGGTAGCCTAGCTTTTAAATAAATAAATAAAATATAAAATTAATTTTCTGCTTAATAGGTACATGAGCCTTGTATATATAAACCCACTCTTCGGTCAAGGTAGAATGTAATACACAAATTCCACGTAAAATTAAAAACCAACATAAAATAATGACTACTCCTCAATTTTTTTCATAAAAAAATAAATTAAAATAAAAAAATGAATAAAAATTAAAAATTAAAAAAAAAAAACAAAAAAAAAACCCTTACTTAACTGCTAAATAGACTACTACAATAATTAAAGAATTATGAATTAGAAAATAAAATTTCCAATAAACCGATTTTTTCCACACCTGCAACTGCATAGCATAACAAGCAAACCAACCTACACTCTGTTCCCTTTCAACCAAACTGTATTCCAAACCCCAACAAATGAACACAATATAATCTTTACTACACCCAAGTTACCTACACTGACCACTGTATCTTCACCTAAACCCAGAACGAGAATACAATCTTTGGTTGTTTTCCCTCTCCATCCAACCTAGCAACTCACTCACCCTGCACATATGTCTATTTGTCACCTCTTCCTCTTTTCCTCTTGCTTTTGATCAGTTGGATAAACCAAATATCAGTACAGTAACTGCTTGCGCGCATGTTACGCTGTGCAGGACCAGGACAATATCCTTATGGGTTGGCACCCAGAATTGGTCTCTGCTATTAGACCGTTCTCTGCTCTTATGCCACCCATTGTACACTGCCAGATAGCCATGCTGGCTATCCCTGCAGATGTCCTACTGCACATTCACAAAGCCACTAACAGGCAAACCCCCTTCCTCGTAGAGAACTTGTCATTCAGTGACTGGGCCTCCATGGTTGCAGTAATGCAGACCAGACCCCACGAACTTGCTGACAAGATCAAGGAGCTTGCCACCAACATCGCAGAGGTCTGCAAGAAGTCTGCCATTGAGAACAGGGAACTGAACCTCATTGTCGCCAAGACAGAGAAGGTTATCCTCAAACTCCATGGTTATGACACTGCGCAACAACGCAGGACAAATTTCTGCTAGTGAGAGAACAGATACCTTCTCTGATTCGTACACTAGTAGCATCGCACTGACACCTGCGGAACTCGAATACTTCAAAAGGAAGGAGGTTTTGAGAAGGGACAACGCCCACTTCGACATCTCTACCATAGCTAGTGACACCACCCACAAGTTCGGCAAGAACAACCCCTTCCTGCCCCTTGCATCCAGCACGTGGACAGAAAACGTTGTTCAACGCGTACATAACAGACTATGGAAACTAGACACGTTCAACTACACTCCACCGATCAGCGTTGACGCTTACATGGCGCTTCCAGGACTTAGCAGTGCTGACATAGAGAACTGTCGGACGGCGGCCAGGAATGGTACCATCCACTTCCCTGCAGGAAGAGTTGGCTTCGATGCAGACTTCCCACCGCTGTCCAAATTGGAGAAAGAGAAATATCCCAGGAAACCACTGCTGCACCAGAAGGGTATCCCCAGGTTCCCAGCAGGCCTGCTAGAGCTCAAGAAGCTGTGGAATGCCGGGAGACCATTCCTCAAATGTGCATGCACAAGTTGTGAAGTTAACTTCACATGGTTAGACCACATGCTCTGGTACGTCATCGACAACTTTGACAAGCTGGACCCGCAGGCTCCCTCGGACAAGATCAGAATGCTCGAGTTCCAAGCCCTGCTGTGCACATCCTGGAGAAAACCAATCCTGACGCAGATCACGTTCCTCTTCATGAAGGAATATATGATGAAGATTGTGCATCTCATCACGCAGAACAAGGCCATCACCGCTGAAGAGATCCTCAACCTAGAAGATTTCAAGGACGTATCCTTCGTACGTAAGTTTACTGCGACACTCCTCCCCAATGCAGAAGGTCTGCTTACGTAAACTGGTACCAGAAGAAGCAACACCACTGACTACGAGGACAACTCGCTTTGCAGGTGCCACCAAATGAGATTGGGTACTCCTGCCGCTAGCTCACCTGTTGAACGCACACCCTCACAGCAATTCTAATCACCCACACCGAACACCGCTGCTGCAAACACACCAATACACCTGTCCACCACACCTACCCCCTGCTCCAGACCACACGCTGCTCCACCAACACTGCACCTAACACGCTACGCCAACCAACACCCGCCGATCGACAGCCAGCCACGGCAAACACTCCACTGCAGGATGGCAGGCACGGTACAAACATGCAACACGCAGAACACGCCATGCAAAATAACAATACCACACAGCAGGCTGCCGCTGTCGCTCGCGTCGGTCCCACACCCAGACACAAAGTAGTTTTTGTGTCGGACTTCACGGTCGTGTCACACAGGAGTCTCTTTGTCACTTTACGCAATACCAACTCCAACCGTGCGCGCGTGCTATACCTCTCGCGACTCCCTACGACAGGTTAGGGTCCCGCGAGGTACAACATACCTCCACCTGCGGGTGCTGTCACCATCCCTTAGGTGGGTGTATCCCTGCTGAGCAACTGTCTCACGTGCGAAGGCTTTTACATGCAGTCGCAAAGGTAGGTCAGCAGAGGGCGTTTTCCCGATAGCCGTAGCATAGGCATATGCGCGGTAGAACGCCTTAAGACTGACTTGTATGTCGTGTCCCGAGGTGCTAATTCCCCGGACCGACTACCTAATCAGGTCGACTTTCTCGGACATTCTTCCACGCTTAGCTAACCATGACTCTATGTTTCCTTTGTTGACCTTATGAAAATGCCAGAGTCAAGCCCCTTAATAATCTCTCATTCTTCAAAAGAGGTCCCAGACAAATGATTTCCTAGGCACCGACCAACCTACGATCTTACTCACAGATATATATATAAATCAGGGGAGCTGAATGAACGGTGGACCTCACTTTCACGATTGCGGTGCCCTTGTCTGAATATCCCAGATGATCTCAAGGTTCAGAAGACAACACAGATGTCCTACACCTGTGCAGATGCAGGAAACCACATACAAGCATACAGATGCAGACACATAATGCGCTACAAAAGTCAACCTTAATCGCATTCATAGCAAGTCCTTTACACCTTAAGACCTTGAAGACAACATTCCTTCCTAATCCTGACCACTTTTACCCCAGCCCTTCACATTTTCAAAGATCTCCGAGTGTGATTTGGACAATGTTAGGCATAGATACAGGGGAAGATTCATTTGTTCCTTTCTTAGGTCTTGTCTTAGGTGTGGGTATCAAGCCATGGTGGAAGTTGAGTCGGAGTTCTACCGACCTGTTATCCAATGATAACAAAATTTATAGTTCCCTTACGGATTTCTTCCGTAGTCCTCTCCAAGAGCGTTGAACCCTGTAGACACAGCACAGTCGAAAAAATCTTAACGTTTTTCTTCGACGTCGGGATCTAGAAGACCCCTTCTAGCCTTGTGACTCAATGTTTGGTGCTCACTGTCGACCTACTGCCTAACTCCTACCCTCTCTATCAATTCGCTCGCCTGATTGGTCTAGGTAATGAACAAAATTCATTCCCCGCTTGTTTGTCCCAACGGTTCCACTATGTTTCTTCCCTCTTAAAAGTTAATTATGAGCCCCATGTCCATAATGACCTCAAGCAATACCATTCATTCAATTCAGAAAGGAAATCATATGATAGAGATCAATTCAGAATCTCAAGGTTGACAAGTCTTTCTTAGTCAAGATCTCACTTATCCTTCCTCACTGGAATCAACGAGTTAGCAATGGGTTGAATTAGTTATATAGAAACAGGCATCTGGCAGTGGATTGATCAAGATACATTCAAACTTTGTCGGTATCTGGCGTGGAGAGTATAAGTTATTATGGCGATGAGACAGACTCCTTAGAACCTCGCTTCTCTCGATCGCCTAGTATTTATATAGATGTGGCGATGAGGCAGGCTTCTTAGAGCTTCGCTTCTCTCGATCGCCTAGTATATGTATATATAAATAGGTATATGGCGATGAAGCAGGCTTCATAGAGCCTCGCTCCTCTCGATCGCCTAGTATATATATATAGATATGGCGATGAGGCAGGCTTCATAGAGCCCGCTCTTCTCGATCG